CCCTGGAGGCTGCAGGAGTTTGACCGGCTTTCTTCATGTGTCATTTGGACAAAACGCTACCTGGCCCGTAGAGCTGTGGGAGCTGACGCCACGGTGTAGCCTCGCACCCGGCCACCATCTCTGCCAAGCGGCAGGCGCTCAGCAAATGACACTGCTGTTGATGAGAAGCCTGCCCTGAAGGCAGCTTCTCCACCAGCCGGGCCTGTGCTGCCCACAGAACTCTGCCTCCAGATTCCTGTTCAGTCCACAGGGACCGGACGGCCATCTCCTGCCCCACAATCATGGTGGAGCCTGTGGGCAGGGTGATGGCAGTGGTCCCCCTGGGCCTCCTGCTTGCCCCCAAGGCTGGGGGGGAGGAGCTCTGACAGGGAGCCCTGTTTCCCTGACTCATGCCTGCTCTCCCTTCTCGCAATGCCTTCATCTGCTGGGAAGAAGGGCTGGCGAGCGACCATATTCTGACTTCCCAGTGACATGTGCTTTAGCAAAGCCAAAGCGGCCGCCCTGCAGTTAGCTGCCAGGGCAGGCAGGGGCAGAGGTGACGTCAGGGTAACCTCGGGCTGGTAGGGACATGGGTTATGAAGATGGGCATGGGGCAGAGGGATTTGGTCCCGTCCCAACTTGTAAAGATGTTATTATGTTCCTGGGCAAGCTGTAGTTCCCTCCACTGCAGAAGCAGAAGCGTGGTAGTATGTGCCCCCACTTAATCCTCTTGTGAGGATTAATTTATCCTTCGGAAGCTGGGGGAAGCTTCCAGGCCTCCCCAGGAGTCTCTGCCCGGTGCTCCCTCCTTCAGCAAGGGTTCCAAAAGCCACCAGTTAGATGCGCCCCTCTCCCCTCTTCTGAACACCAGCAGGGCCCCTTTCTTTGGGTGCTTATCCCAGTCTACCCTGCAGGGTGGCTAGTCGTGTCCTTGATTGGTTTCACCGGCCCAAGGAAGCGCTGCAGACAGCGCCTGCTGGCTCCTGCCGGGCGGGTTTCAGGGTCTCATGCCAGGCCCTCGGGGACCTGGGCCTGCTTTCCCTTTGCAGCCTGCCCTGCCCTTCATGCCTGTCGTTCTCGAAGCTCCTCCTCTGTGTGTGCACACGCGGGTCCCTCTACCTGGCTTCTCCCCCTCACACCCCACCCCCTTGCCTCCTCAGGCAGCGATGAGCATGACCGAAGAATGTTCAGAAAGCAAAATGCTTTGACAACATGGGCTAACTGCGGCAGCTGCCGACTGTCACCAGTGGGTGAATGGGTGGCAATTTGACGGAAATAGGAGTCCTTCAGGCTGTCGATTTCAACCAGCGTGGGGTCCTCATTGCTCGGGATCTGTTCCTTGGCGGCCAGCTGTTTTCCCTCACAATGTCATGCTCACCCTCGTGCTTGTTCCCCAGGCCCACAGAAACCCGTAGGAGTGAAGTGATTAGAGGAACTTCAGCTGTTTTGGTCTCTCTGAATGGCCCTCTTTCATCTGGATATGCAGGGACAAGGGCCTTTTTAAACCCAAACATCAGGGGAAGACCAGAGTCCCACAAGAGCCACTCGCGCTCTGGGTGGGACCATCATCCGGGGACGGGGACTCCGGCCCCTTCCTTCCCTTTCTCCGGAGGGAGTGCAGGGCAGGCACTCAGAGGCAGTTAAAGATGCGAAGCCGGTTGTCATGAACGTGTTTTATTTCACGGACTTCTGCGTCTCCCTTCAGCCAGCTCACAGCTTCCGCTCTTCAGAGGTTTCCAACCCAAATTAGTACGTATCACCACCTGACCTCTCTGTTCCTACCACAGATCGGTTTCTGGAGGACCCTGGCCATTTATGCTCTGAGCGCTGGGGTTTTTCGTCTGTCCTCAGTGCCTTGTAGAAAACTCTTAATGCTTGTGTCAACTCCTGAAATGGGCGGTGACCAGTGTCTGAGAACATATTTGTACCGTGGAGATAAAAGTGTTGGGGTGGGGGTGACGGGGGGGGGGCGGTGGTGCAGGGAGGGCCAGGGCTGAACTCGTTTTTTACTCTCCCACCAAGGTTTTTCTTAAAGCGATGGAGGAAAACAGTTGTTTTATTGGTCTGGGTCTGACCTTTCTGGAACTTCAGTCACAGACTTTTTAGGACAGCATTTTGGGGGAGAAGGCTGGTTTTTCTGTAGCTGGGATGGGTGGTTTGTAGGTCTGTACTTCCTTGCTCTGAGAACTTAGTAAAGTGGGTGTGCCATCCCCAAAATGGATTCTTTTTTTTTTAAGATTTTATTTATTTGGGAGAAAGAGAATGAGCAGAGCAGGGGAGGAGGGGCAGAGGGAGAGGGAGAAACAGACTTCCCGCTGAGCAGGGAGCCCACTGCAGGACTCTAGCCCAGGACCACGGGATCATGACCTGAGTCGAAGGCAGACACTTAACCCACTGAGCCACCCAGGCCTTCCCCCAAAATGGATTTCTCACAAATCGGGGTACCACGCTTCCCTGTATTAGGAGCCCGGCACAGAGAACCCCATGGAGTCCTGGCAGCGGGAAACGGTGTTCTCATCGGCCACTCAGAGGGTGCGTGAGGCTTAGGGCCTGGAGTTAGCTCAGAGCAGAAGACAGGAAACGGGGTCACAGGAATATCTGCATTTTGTTTCTGTAAATGCTGGGACTGCCCATGCTCTCCAGCCTCTTGGCCCCAAGAGTCATCATATGCGGTCATGCTCGGGCTGTATCTGCTTACTGTCTCTCCAGATGCAGGGCAGTCTCACAGGCCTGAGACAGAGAATGTGCTTTGTGGGCTTCCCAGCAGCTTTAAATCTCGCTCTTTACAGTAAACGCTGGTGCCTCATTGCCGGGAAGGCAGCTGCAGTGTTCCAGGGCCCCCATCCACACGGCCCCTGACTTCATATGTAGATGGGGGACTCTGATTCTTTAGCAGTCACAGGAACACTGAGAAACAACTGGCCTTGTAAGCCATCACGGGATAAAACCAGCCTATTCTTTTGCATTGTTCCCTTTTTTTTTTTTCCAAAGGAAATGTAAGGGAAACCAAGGGGAATTTTTGCTCATAATTTCAAAGGCAAAGGTCACTGTTAATGGCTGTTTCCAGAGTGTTCGGGCTTCTGGTCAGTATGGGTTTTTTTTTTTTTTTCCCTTTTCCCTTTTTCTTTTTTTGTGGTGGCTGGGGGGGAGGGAGAGAGAGAATCTTAAGCAGGCTCCATGCCCATTACAGAGCCAACACGGGGCTCGATCTCATGACCCTGAGATCATGACCTGAGCTGAAATCAAGAGACGGAAGTTTAACCTAATGAGCCACCCCAGGTGCCCCTCCGTATTTTTTTTTTTAAGGTGTTATTTTTAAGTAATCTCTACGCCCATTGTGGGGTTTGAACTCACAACCCTGAGATCAAGAGTCCCAGGCTCTACAGGCTGAGCCAGCTGGGTGCCCCCTCTTACGGTATTTATAATCCTGGGCTCCCCAGTTCTCGTAGCTGGCAGCACAGTTGGGGATATTAATGAGGAAAAGCTAAAAGCTGTATGGATGTTAAAGGATTGGTAAATGAAATCTTCAAAACCGTCAATAACTCAAAGTCCCAAGTAAGAGAGGCAGCCCTGAGCCTTATCGTTGGGCATTTGAGCAGAGTCACTATTTTTGGCATGAGAATTCAACCAGCAGAAGGCACAGATTTTATTGTAGCCTTCATATGATACAAGATCACTGTTTTTCTGATTCCAGGAGCCGCTGAGTTCAGTGTGGTGAGTTTTCTTAGCACTTAGAGTTGTGTATTAGACTTAGCTGAGGTTTTTATTCCAGGATTCAGAACATTTAACTACTAACATTAGATGTCTGGGGAGAAGGTGATCTTGCTTTTTTTATATTTACAGAAAATGTCCCTGTATTTCTGTCGGGAATCAATTTGCTTTCTGTTAAAACAAACGCACACAAAAAGTGCTGCTTTTTCTTGGAGATTTTCCCTTCAAATCATGTGTATGTTAATTGGTTGCTCAGGACAGAATTAATGATTTTTATAGTTCACTTTGTTGTGAACTGTGATCTTTCACAAAGTTGATAGAAATAAAATGCTTTTCCATTATAACATACAGTACATGTCTTCCCTTATTCTGAAAATCAAATAAAAAATAATCATTTTAAAAAGTTAATATTTGCTCAGTATAGAAAATTTGGAAGATACCAAGAAGCACAAAGAAGATAATCATAGGTGGTCCAATCCTCCCCCCCCCAAAAAAACCACTGTTAATAATTTTAGTGCATTTTATGGGTAATTTTCCACATTAACAGTATTTTTGAATAATTAGTAACTAGTAGCTAATACAGTCTGTCAGTTTATAGTCTTAATTTCTGCGTAAGCTAAAGATTTTTTTTTGATAGCCAAATCATGAAATGTGTAAAATTTAAATCGTAAGTTCTCAAGTTGTATGTCGAATGTCAGTGTTATTGCTGGTTTAAAATAACAAAAACCAAAGGTTCCTTTTGCTGAGAAATTCACTGTGTCAACTGGAGGTTCTCTACCACAGCAGTGACACCGTAACCTTGACTAAGCTAAATCACGGGGTCAGTAACCACCGGCTTTTGTTAAGATGCAAATCAATAGTGAAAGTATAACTTCCTCCTCTTCGTATTCCATCAAGGGAAGGCAGCAAGATCAGTGAAGTTGTCATAGCCAGGGAGTCACAGATTCCACAGCAAGAGTGCGAAAAAGTCACAAAATTCAGAGAGTTGCTCTCTATCTTTAGGAGATGTGATGCAGGGAGATCCTTTTAGAGTATCCTGCAGGAGGAAGGGGCTGTTGGCCTTGCAAGAGCCCCAAGGACCTCGGGCGTTCTAGCCGAAGCCTGAGTTCATCACACAGACTCCAGCAGCAGGCTTGTAGCGAAGGTGCGGGAAGAGTGCGGCGTGAAATGATCAGAATAGCCCTTTTGTCCCGTGTGCATCCATCCTATGTGCCGTTTGCCCGCACCAAAGCTTTTCCTCTGCTGCGTGTCTTTGCCCGTGTTCCTCTCTGAATTCCAGCCTGACTGTGCTCTGGTTTTATCTTTCCCAGCTTAAGTGAGAGCTTTTTCATGGTGAAAGGAGCAGCACTCTTCTTACAGCAAGGAAACAACCCTCAGAGCCAGCGAAGCCTTCAGCATCCCCACAAGCATGCAGGTAAATTGAGGTTCTTACCTGGAAACTTATTTTCTGTGCAATGGGGGAGCCTTCCATTGCTGGTGGTGAGCAAGTTGCTGGTTTTCAAGGCCAGAGAAATAGCGGAACACAGGCTTGTCATGCACCCGGTGCAAAGCAGAAGCTCTTTTCTTGAGCAGGTAAGCCATGCGTGTTTTCCAGGGAGCACCGAGAGCTAGTGCCCCGCGGACTGTGCATGTCTACGCAAGAAATGAGGCAGTCAGCAGCGTTCTGTTTGGATGTGAGGATTTCCCACCCACAGTTTATCAGTTAACTGCAGATTTTAAGTTACAGTATGATTTTATTTTTTTATTTTTTATTTTATTTTTTTTTAAAGATTTTATGTATTTGAGAGAGAGAGAGAATGAGAGATAGAGAGCATGAGAGGGAAGAGGGTCAGAGGGAGAAGCAGACTCCCTGCTGAGCAGGAAGCCCGATGTGGGACTCGATCCCGGGACTCCAGGATCATGACCTGAGCCGAAGGCAGTCGCTTAACCAACTGAGCCACCCAGGCGCCCTGATTTTTTTTTTTTTTTTTAACTAATGCACCAAAACCTATGACAGCCAGACATTGTCCCCTTGAAAATAACCACCTTGGGATGCCCTATACCTCCTTTGAGGACTCTGGTCATTTCTCTGAGCATCTGGAAAGCTCTCATTTGGGGAATTTCTTTATGAGTCTTCAGCAGGCATTGGGGTGGGAAATCTTTATGATTTATCAGTGGATTTGGTTTCTGGAAGTAGACTGAAGTGATAAAGTGGGGATCAAACCCAATATTTATTTAGGTCTAATAGCACATGAGTAAGAAATGCTTATATGGTAGCAGAGACTGGTTTTCTTAGGTGACTGGACTCTGACACCGAAGGCAGTTTGAAAAGAGGAACCAGAAAACATTGCGTACAAGGGAATCTTTGTAATAGGCCCGTAGCCTCTGCGGGCACTTCTGGGACGGGCTGCACATTTCTCAGTGCGACCTGCAAAGGGCTCTGACCCTCAGAACAACAAGCAGGTGAAAGCAGCTGGCAGTCGGGGCCAGTTTTCTTGTCACTGTGATCATTTTCTCTCTCACCTCAAGTCCTCTCGCCTCATTTTGGACCTGAGTGCCTAGGTTAGAATTTCGTGTCTTACACTTTACAGCAAACACCAGGGGTCAGTCGGGATTTTCACATGCTGATACTTGGAATCAAGATGTAGCTCTGTTTGAAGCTCAGAAAGCAGTTGTCCTGCACAAGGAGGCAGTGTGGGTTGGGGCAAGAGTGTGTGTTTTAGAGCCAGACAGACCTGGCTTCTGATCCCAGTCCTACAACTTACTGAGCAGTCACCTCTGAGCCTCAGTTGCCCAGTCTTTACAATGGGCATCAAATACCGGTACCTCAGGCAGGATGGAGTTTAAAATGTATGCATGTAGGGGCGCCTGGGTGGCTAAGTTGGTTCAGCATCCGACTCTTGATCTCGGCCCAGGTCTTGATATCAGGGTTGTGAATTTAAGCCCCCTCAGCGTGGAGCCTACTTAAAAAAAAACAAAAACAAAAAACTGTATGCATGTAACCTATTTACCATCTCATGGGTGCTCTGTGTATGGTAGCTCTGATTATTACTGCAACGACTTCGAGTACCGTAATACTACAAACAGAACCTTCTCTCTTGAATCTGCTAATGGTTCTGCCCTGTCAGGAATTTAACCAATGTTCGTTGGTTAAATACATACAGCAAAGCGAATGCTCCAGCTTTGTTCACCCGTAGTATACAGTGTCTCCATCCTCTGATTCTAACAGTGTTTTCATACTCTCTGGAGCTTGGGGAAGCAAGTACAAAACCATGTAAAAACCATAAGTCGGGCTGGTTCGTGCATCTCTGGAACGTACAGGAAAGTAAGAAAGCTTCAGGCTTGGTGGCTTTTCCGCCCCTGAGGTCTAGAATGGCCGATGAGCTCCCCAAAGCAAGAGGGACCGTGACTGTCCCAGGACTCTCAGGAAATGTCCCTGGGGCAGGCACAGACTGGCCTTTCCATCAATTCCTATTTTTCTAGAATCACTGTCGAGTGCCCTGGAGGGCCCCCCGTCCCATCTGCTATCACACAGAGCTGAGAAAGAGTGAGGCTTAATTCTGCCCATACAAGACTCACTCAGGTCATTGCAGCTAGTCCCCGGTCCGAGACTCTGGCGAGGGCCTCTACTTCAGGCTTATAGTCTCTGATCTTTCCGCAAGTGCTGAGTGAACACTTCAACATATAGAGGCAGTGTGTGGGTGCCAGGCTGCAGTTGGGAGTTCTGTCGGTCAGCAATTCCACATCTCCACAAGCAGTCCCGCTGAAAGGAGCCTATCTGTGTGGAAAATGTCCCTTTCATTTGGGCACTCACCAGACAAAGGGGCTTGTTTTTGCTTTCCTCTGTGTGCTTCCGTGACTTGGAGCGGACGGTGGTGGCGTGCAGGCAAGCCCAGGACCAGCCGAGGCGGGTGTGTGCCACTGGGACCATGGGGTCACCACAGGCGAGGGTGCTGTTGGGTAGCGGAGGGGGGACAAGGAGCTCCACATCCTCCTTAAAACATGAACCGTTACTTGCCAATCATTCCTTATGGAAAGCAGTGCCAGTGTGGGGTGTCTTATACCGTGCAGTCCTGTCACAGAGAGAACAGACGAGAGGGGCCAGCTTCCAAAAACCCAAGTCCTCTCTGAGGCAAGAAGTGCAATTTGGACATCTTCTGTCAGCCTGACCTAAAATTCAAAACATGCCTTTGCAAAAGGAACGAATCCAGTGTACTGATCCTTCTGGGATCCTGGTTGTGATCTATAGGATAATATTTTGTTTTGTTTTGTTTTTTTAAAGATTAATTCTGAGGGCGCCTGGGTGGCTCAGTCATTAAGCATCTGCCTTCGGCTCAGGTCATGATCCCAGGGTCCTGGGATCCAGCCCCATATCAGGCTCCCTGCTCTGCGGGAAGCCTGCTTCTCCCTCTCCCACTCCCCCTGCTTGTGTTCCCTCTCTCGCTGTGTCTCTGTCTGTCAAGTAAATAAATAAAATCTTTAAAAATGATAATAATAATAGGGGCGCCTGGGTGGCTCAGTTGGTTGGGCGTCTGCCTTCACCTCGGGTCGTGATGCCAGGGTCCTAGGATCGAGCCCCACGTCCGGCTACCTGCTGGGCAGGAGCCTGCTTCTCCCTTTCCTCCCCGCCTGTGATCTCTCCCACTATCTCTGTCCCTATCTCTCTCAAATAAAATAAATAAAATATTTTTAAAAATAATAATAGTAATAAAAGTAAAGATAATTCTGTTCCTTCTTGGCATGGCACAAATCAGCATTAATGTAGATCTTCTAGGAGTTACTCCTACTTTCTTGTAGACCAGCGTCTTTGCAGATGAACCTTTCCTTCAGAAAGAAACCATGAAATGTATAAGGTGGGGAAAAAGCCGTGTTAAGAGTCCCACTTGCTACTCACTGATTACGAACCTTGGGTAGGCCCCCCCAAGCCTGGAACACACAGCCTGTTTTCAGCTGTGTTGATCCTCCGTGTCTGTGGAGACTTACTAGCTCTGAGAGGCTCTCCTCCCTACACCCCAGCTCGGAGGCACCTCCCGGGCTCTGGATTGCTCAGAGAAGCTAGAAGCTCTGCATTATTGCCTTTATAAAGTAATTATGCTTTATAATGCTTTATTGAATTCAGTTCTAGACTGATGTGTATATAAACTGCCGTGAGAAGGGGTGCGAGCCTCAGGCCATGGGCAGCTGCTAGTAGCCTTCATAACATTTTATGACCTCTGAAATTGCTTGGATAATCATCAGTGAGCCAGTGGGTGAAAATAATGATGACCATAATGATCGAAGGAGGCCCAAGACCAGAGCCCAGATGTGCAAGCACTTGGTGATAGAGGCATAGGCCTGGGCCCCAGTCACCGCACCTGCTGCCCTCCAGTCCCTAGACTCCACGTAGTAGGCAAATGCCACAAAGCCGCGGCAGCACAGGGACCAGACGGGGTGGTCAGGCATGGAGGTCTCACTGTGGATGTTGATCATGGTGGTCGTCGTGGGGGCCAAGCTCTGGGACGCACGAGCAGGGGATGGGGCAGAGGGAGAGGAGAGAATCTCAAGCAGACTGCATGCTGAGCGTGGAGCCCCACGCGGGACTTGATCCCACGACCCTGAGATCATGACCCGAGCCAAAATCAAGAGTTGGACTCTCAACCAACTGAGCCACCCAGGCACCCCAGATTTCAGAGTATAAAAACAATTTCTAAATATGTGGCCATCATCAGCTAGATCTCCCCATCCTCATCAGGCAACATTCAGGAGTGGAGTAAGAGAAATTGAGCCTCCTAGTCTTTGTGACGCTTCTCTTGGGGTGGAGGTGGGGGGAATTTTGATTTCACAGTCTTCATCCAGACCCTTAATATCAGCCTCTTGCAGGTTTCTGCCTAGCAGGTGGGTGGGTGACCTTTTAAAACTTTCTTCATTGGTCCAACAGGTGACTTGCCCCAACATCTTCAAGTAATGATCAACCTTCTGCGATGTGAAGATCGGATCAAGCTGGTAAGAAGAGACAAAGAGCGGCAAGTTTTAATTTTTAATTGTGCGATTTGGTAGGGAATTATTCACGAGCAGTGGGAGGTGGGGAGTTCCTGTGTTCCAGCAGATTCTCCCAAATTGTTCACAAAAGCCACAAAAGTTTGCTCTTCACCACCCACGAGGTCCAGAGAAAGGACGTGTTAGGTGTCCATGTCGAATCTGAGGGTGGAGATCTTCATTCTCTGGATTGTACCTGTTCACCCATTTGACCAACTTTAGGGGAATCTCCCCAGAGCCAAGCACTGTCCGTCGTGCATGGATATAAGCAGACGCGGCTCCTGCTCTTAAGAATCTTATCTTAATTGCTCATGGGGGGGAAGGGTAGAAAACAAAAGCCCTTGGTGTTGATTTGGTCACGGAAGGGGCCACCACCCTGAAAGGCAGGCCAGTGAGAGCGTCTTCGCCCGTCTAGGCCGTGCGCTTGGAGAGCGCCTGGGCGGAGCGGGTCCGGTACATGGTGGTGGTGGACAGCAGCGAGCGCCAGGACACGGAGGAGAGTATCTTGCTGGGAGTCGACTTTTCCAGTAAGGAAAGGTGAGTCTGGTGGCTGGGTTGCCGCGGTCCCGTGTCCGTGGGAGTTGATGATGGGATGTGCGGTGGTCAGCGGCACGGGTGGCCAGGCATGCAGAACAGTAGAACGCACCACTGCAGCTCGTGCATGCCTGGCGCTGCGCTAGATTCAGTCTCTGCTCTCAGCTCCTACTGAGAGGATAGAAAAGTTACACTGAGCTTAGAGGTTTACCGCTGGGTTGCTATTGGGGGTGCCATGGAAGAGAGCACCTGAGCCAGGAGGGCTTCCTGAAAGAGGTGATGGCTGTGGTGAACACCCAAGGACACGCAGGAGGGAGCCACGTGAAGCGGGGACGGGCCCGTGTAGAAGTATGTGACTGATAGGTATCATATCAAGTGCTTCCCCTATATTACCATCCCAAGTGGATTCCCAAGTATTTGTTGACAGGTCCTTGGTCAGAGGCTTAAAGGAGGTTTGGAATTTTCCGATAACTGGAGGGCAAGTTAATTGTATCACAGACCCTATTATGTGTGTGAAATAAGGGCGAATGGCTCTTCATACATCTAGGATACGTGCATGTGCGTGAGATCATTGCAGACCCTGGCTTTGTGAAACCTGGATTAAGATAGGCTCCCTGTATTCGTATCTTTAATCTACTCATCCGCCAAGGCAAGTGTGTGCGTTCTCCTGTGTATGAGGCAATGGGCCAGGTACACAAAGAAGCAGCCAAAGCTGTGGTCCACCTCTGACAGCCTGTAAGCTTAGCGAGGAAGGAGCCATGACCAGATGGCAGGGCAACGGGCTCGGTGATGGAGGGGTGCTCGGGGGGGTGTGGAAGCACAGGACAGGGGTGGGCTCAGAGGGGGCAAGCCAGAGGCCTTCTGCAGCGTGTGATGGCTCACCAAGTCTTAAAGGGCAAGTGGGCAGTAGGGACGGGGCAGTGGGGGCTGCATTCGAAGGCATCTTGGGCAGAATCGACGGCAGGACAGAAAAAGCCACAGACGCAGTGAATGGTGTGGCGGCTATGTGGTCTCGTCTTGTTCTCACGAGAGAACTGCTGTTAGGAGGGACCAAGACTTTGTTCCCGGCTAACAAGCCCATGAAGAAAGAGGGAGGACGTTTCTTTGATGACCTTCTTCCTGACACAGGGTAGCATCCTAGGAAAGTTTTGTGCGGCACACGTAGATAGAGATGTGTGAGCCGGCATCTGTGGCCTTGGGCTAGTTGGGAAGTCTGGATCTGGAAGACTGTGGAGCCTGGCAGGTCTTAGGACGCAAGCTGTGAAGAGCGCCCCGGAAGGCAAGAGGGCCCAGCACCTCGTGTCAGGGCACCCCCAGGCCGGCGCTCTGGGACATAGACGGAGCTCGGTGTTTTGTGCAGCACAGAGGTACTCAGTGCAAAACAGCGATGCAGTTACATTTGCTCTTTGATGATCAGCCAGCCTTTCGGAGTTCCTTCCGGGGCAGGGGCGTTCCTTGCCACATGTGGTCCATTCTTGTAACACCCTCCAGCCCAGAGCGGGAACCTGCTTCCCCGTGGGATGTGCCTTCTGTGGAGGTCTGCCCCTCCTGCTAGCCATCTCTGTTGCTTCCGTGGGAAGAGCCCAGGGCGGTTGCCACGGCATGTCCTCAGCATCTCTTTGAACCCTTAAACCGCCCCGTGGAGCAGGTAGCCCTGATTTGTGTGTAACAGATGAAAAATGCAGCTTGAGAGGTCGGGGTGGGTACCTCAAGGCCATCCTACTAGCAGAGCTGGGCATCAGAAGCCACGCCTTTGTGGTGGGCATCAGAAGCTGGGCCCCGCAGTGTAGACCCTGCACATCGATACGCTGCACTCTCCTCTGCACCCCGTTGTTCGTGAATTCATTCCTACACGACCATCTGTACTGTTTGCACTTTCTGTGTGCCTGGCCTCTGCTCTCCGACCTCAGTCTGGAGGTCGTGACCGTAGCATTAGACGCGTATGCATGCCCTCCACGTCGTCCTTCACGGTTGGAGTAGACAGGCCCGCGTGCAGGTGCCAACCCCGAGGCCGGTGCTGCGTCTTGTGGTTGGGGAGGTGGGGCAAGGGGCTGCCAAGGGTGAGCAGGTGGTCAGAGGCGAATGGGACCTAAGCAGCCTTTCTGTTGTCGGGCCTGAGTGGCAGCCCTACAGGCCCAGGCATGTGGAGGTGGGGGCCTGGGGCCTGGGCCCTGGGTGCTTTTCTGCGGCCCCACACTGGGGAGCCCCAGGCAGTAAAGCCCTGGTCCTTACAGAAGCTTTTGGCCTGCTGAAAGCATGAGATGTTTGTTTTTCTCAATTCCTGACATGAGATTTTGCTTCCTTATTCCAAAAAAAAAAAGGAGGGAGCGGTGAGTGCTGCCCACAGCGGGTACGTACCCTGTGGGAGTTCCGGCAGCAGGATAGGCAGGGGCCGTGTCGGAAGGGACGATGCAGGGGCAGAGACGGGCCCCGCGGGCTCATGGGTTCTCTTTCAGAGCCACCCATCTGCACATGCGTCGCCCCAGAAGACAGGAGCGGCCACCCCAGGTTCCATCTTGCATTTGGGAGGCGAGAGCACCGTGAGTGCCATGAGCACACACAGCTGCCCTGCGCTTGCTGGCACCGTGCAGTCTGCGAAGGGCTTCCACGGCGCCCCCCGTGCCAGGCCTGGCTCCCGCTTGGCCCTCGGGTCCCGACGCTGGCCCCACTGGCCCCTCTGCTCCTGCTGTTTCAGTTTCCTCTGAAGCTTTTCTTCTCCCCCAGCTGCCCCACCCACGTCATCCCTTGAGGTCATTCCTCCCAGAAGACCCCATTTCCCTGACCGGGTGCCCCTGCTCCCCCTGTACGCCAGCACGCAGGCCCTCCTTCCCTATAGACATTTTACTGTCCGTCACTACAGGACTACTGGAAACTCACAGAACAACAGATAAGGGGACATTAGGGAACTTGCAGAGTTTTTTCAGTCGTGCTGTGGTCCCCGCCTGTGCTCTTGACTGCAGGTTCAGACCCTGAGTGGGAGTCCTTCGTGGACTTAGCCCCATGCACGCAGTGCTCTCTCCAGGCTCTTCCCCATCTCTGCAGGTAGGGGAAGCCAGTTTAGATGCTGCCCTTGTTTCATATGGACAGTTTCATCTCGGCCTGCCCTGGAAGGCCCCCTCCTGCGCTAGGCCTGGGCCTGGGCCTTTGGCCCCCCACCCCCAGTCCAGTCCAGTGCTCCTTGTAGCTCTGTCTTCTCTCCTCATACCAGTCCCTGGCATGGGTCCTCAGTGCTGAAAGGGGGTGAGTCTTCCAGGCCTGGCCACGTGTTCCCAGGTGCCCTCTGCCCTGGGCTCTCAGCATGTCGGTTTGGGCTACGGGGGGGCCCCCTGCTCGGCCTCCCAAGCACTGACACAGCAAGCAGCTCCGGAGCTCTATGGGTCTCAGCATACCGCATACGTTTCATTTTGCAGCTCTACAAAGGAAGTAGAATTAGCCTATCGAGAGTGGGTAGGAATGCAGGGGTGGGGGGTCAGGTAATTTGCCTAACACAAAAGGCTTCGTTTGATTTGACCTGAAGGGCTTGCAGCTTCCTTCCCCACAGACGGAAGCAGAGGGTGGAAGAGTCCCACTTGGTCACCAGCACTCCAGGGGAAGAGGGGCGTCTGTGAGCTCAGAGCTCCCTGTCATAGGCGTCACATTATCCCCTGGGCTGTTGCTAAGGAGTAGACGTGTAGGTTCCAGATCCCTGGAGGGGACCTTGGCCATTACCGTGGTCTCTCATGAGCAGACTCTTTTCTTTTAAATGCCTGAAGAATTTTCCTAACAATCCGAGTAACCCTCCGATAAAGTCCTTTCTGTCCCTCCATGTTTCTCAGCGGCACCTATCTCCAAAGTCACTAGGTATCATTTCACTGTTAGGGTGAACAAACCAAAAGCCAATTAAGCTCGTTTTGAAACTGCAGCTGTGCAAAAGGTACAGAAACAGAGGCCCAGAAATGAACTGCAGCCATGGTGTTGGCACTCTCCCCATCCCCGGGGACAAGAGGCCCGGTTGGCTGCCACGGCTCGCCTGTGGCCCCTGGAGTGCGTGTGGCCTCGTGCCAGGAGTGCGCCAGCCATCAGCGGCTTCACCCCTGCTGCAGCATGGGCGTGTGGTCAGCCACTCGCTCCCTGCCCCCTGAGAGCCAAGGCCGAGACCTGGCGTTTCCGGAGCTCTATCCGCACTTTGGTGGGGTCACAGTCCCCTGGGACTGTCTCCAAGTAGAGGTCACTGGAGACCCCTCTGATGAGACCCTCCCAGGCTCACGTCTTCTAGAATTCAGTGGCAAGTGGTCCCTACGCAGACAGCCTGAAAGCTTCTCCCTGATACACACCCAGCAGCCAGGCCCAGGTCGGGTGGTGGTGCCTTTCTGAGAGCTGGACAGGCTGGGCAAAGGCAGGGAAGAGGGTGCACGAGCGGGCGGACCCTGACTCTGGGCATCTTCTCTTTTCTCCTGAGCAGTAAAAGCTGCACCATCGGGATGGTTCTCCGGCTGTGGAGCGACACGAAAATCCACCTTGATGGAGACGGGTAAGGAGATCTCTTTAAAAGATTCTTCCAGGGGCACCTGGGTGGCTCAGTCAGTGAAGCGTCTGCCTTCGGCTCAGGTCCTGATCCCCAGAGGCCTGGGACCGAGCCCCGTGTCGGGCTCCCTGATCAGCAGGGAGCCTACTTCACCCTCTGACCCTTCTCCCTCTCATGCTCTCTCTCAAATAAGTAAATAAAATCTTTAAAAAAAAAAAACTACTAAGAGATTCTTCCACTTTGGGCATCCTTGATAATCATTAGGAGCAGTCACCTGTGTGACGTGCTCACACAAGGACCGGGGATATTTGGGACATTATATAAGGGAGTTTGGGTCTCGAAGTATCAACGGAAGAGTGTTTACAGGGGATGTGCTGCTGTGTGAAGTTCCAGCGCATCAGGGAGCTGACATTCATTCCTTTCCCTTGATGTGTTAAATGAATACTCGGTACGTGCCCCCCCACGCGGAGCTGGTCACTGTAGGTTCACGGTTGGAAAGGACATGGCCGGAGCACACAGCCGTGGGGGTGCGGGGGGAGGCAAGCGGCTAGTGGGCACAGCAGCGTGTCAGGTGCGTCTCCGGGGGCTGCAGAGGAGGAAGCCTTCCGTGTGTCCTGAGCAAGGTAGACAAGAGACGAGGGGCCATCCGGGTTCCACCTACATTTGCTTCCAGGGGAAATACTCGGGTTCTGCCAGGAGCGGGGGGAAGGAGCTGAATACAAGTTGCCCCTCCACCAGGATTCCAACGGTAAAAGTTAAATTGCCTCATAGAATCGGGGAAGAAAAATTAAAATGTGATTTTTTTTTTTGAAGAGGCAGGATTATAGTTATATTTTTTTCCTTTGTCAGATTATGCCATCCGTGAATATATTTCCCATGCAATTACAAAAACAGTGTGTGGGGCAGGAAGTAGCAGGGGGCTGGGACAGTGGCAGGAACATGAACAAGATGGTGTGTCGGATGGTGTTGCCTTTGCCAGGGTTTGTGTTTTTGATAGACCTTGCGTAGCCGGGTTAAAAGCAAGTCTTACAGATTTGAGAACACTCCCCCCCCCCCACTTTTTTCCTGTTCTTGCCCTTGTTCGATGCAGCCGCCTTGTATTCCCTGCTCAGAAAGCGTGAGCCACCCTTGTCATCTGGTGTGGCCACAGGGTCTAACTTCTCACAGAGCTTCCTTTCTTTTTTTGTTTTTCATCCTCAGGGGATTCAGCGTCAGCACTGCGGGACGGATGCATGTCTTTAAGCCCGTATCCGTCCAGGCCATGTGGTAAGTGCTTTTTAGGGACTTTTATCACCTTAGGAATATTTTTTTTAGCTGCCAGCACGAATAGGAAAACCCCCTTCGACTTTAAAGCTCGTTTAGGTACATTTATTTTTGTGTGTGTGGCAAAGTGCACGTAACGTGAAGTGTACCACGTTTACCATTTTTTAAGTTTGCAATTCAGTGTACATCCATGATGTGTAGACATCACTATCCATTTCTCGAACTTTCTCGTCGTCGTCCCATTAAACACTAAGTACCTCTCCCCCGCCCAGGCCCTGGTTAACTTCTGTCCTACGTTCTGTCTCTAGGAGTTTGCCTACTCCAGGTCCCTCCAATAGGGGGGAATCCTCCCCGATTTCTCCTTTTGCATCTGGCTTCTGTTGCATATCTCGATGTTTTCAAGGTTTGTCCATCTTGTCGCACCTGTCAGAATCCTTTCTAAGGCTGAATGTTACTCCAGGATGTGGTCATAGACTATTTTTTGTGTAGTCCTATCATCCATCAATGGACATTTGGGTTATTTCCACCTTCTGGCTGTTGTGCTTGGAGTTGCTGTGAACACGGGTGGGCAAAGTGTCTGTTGGAGTCCCTGCTTTCAGTTCTTTTGAGGATGTACCTAGAAGTGGAATTTCTAGAGCATGCGGTTAACTCTGTGTTTCACTCTCTGGGGAACCAAAACTGTTTTCCGCAAACTGGACTCTTGGTCCCATTGCACGCTCCCACCAGCTGTGCCCGAGGGTTCTGGTTTCTCCACGTCCTCACCAGCTCCTGCAAGTTAGTTATTGAGTTTTCATCATCGCCCTCTTAATGGGTGTGAAGTGGTATCTCGCTACAGTGTTGATTTGTATTTTCCCACTTGATGAATACCGAGCATATCTCTTTATGTGCTTATTGGCCATTTGTACATCTTTTTTGGAGAAAAGTCTATTCAGGTCCTTCAGCCAGTTTTTCATTGGGTGGTTTTTTTGTTATCGAAGGTACGTTATTCTTACATTATCTACAGTTCCTGCTGTCCAAATGCCATTCCAGTGCAAATTTGCATATTCTTTATACCTGGCGCACGCTCGGTTTGTGCCCTGAAGGGAATGGCACCCTGCCAGGCACTGGGCATCTGGGAAGGCATACGACAGACATACTTTCTGTCCTCATGGGGTTTAAAGTCAATGGAGGGGAGGTGGCCATAACCCGCGCAGAGTCACGTGTTGGACCAGGGAGCGCAGGGAGCATGTTCTCACAGGGTGTCCCGCTACAGGATGCGGGGTGCAGGGCCCGCATTGGGGGGAGGGCCTCCCACACACTCTACTTTGGGGATGAGGGAGCCGCGGGCGAAGGCTGCACTGGGTGAAACAGGTCAGGCTGGTGCTTCTTCAAACCCGGCACGTGCACCTGCGGGCCTCCCTCATCCTTGGAGGGTCGCACAAACCACCCCTGCAGCGAACTCAACACAATCATCTCTCTTTCCAGCGGTCTGGAAAAGGCTCAGGAGAAAGCTGGTGGTATCTGACAAGAAGGGGTCTGCCCAGTGTTTCCCAGTCATTACTTTGTTTCCTGGGACAGCGAGAGTTAGGCCGAATTCTCCTATGGGGCACCAGTCAACATGGTGCTTCATTTTTACCTCGTCCAATACTCTACACTGCCCTCAATTCAGGCTCCTTCTGGGGAAAATCACGAAATCATAATTCCCTTGATGTCCCAGATGTTTCTTGCATCTCTGGGTCATTTCTTACCTCTTTCTCTACAGGCAAGTAAAAAATAGGCCCACATGTTTTTCCAAAATTTCAGGAGCAAAACTAAGTTTAGTAAATATGCAGTTCAAGCCTATTCCCTGAAGCAGCCTAGAGATAGGACAGACATGCCTGAGTGGGGTACGTGCAGCACCTAGCGGGGGTGAGCCCTTCCCCGAGGACTCTCGCTCCCTCCGGGGCTTCCCCACTCCCACCCTTCATCGATGCCTGGTTCACCCCCTTCACTGAGAAAGTTTCAGCCTAGATTTTTGTTAAAAAAAAAAAGATGACTAAGCTGAGCATTACCATACACATTCTCCACAGTGTTCCTTCTGCCCCACTCTTCCTTCCCGAACCTCTTCTTCATTACGTCTCTGTAGTAATGTGAGTTTCTAGCACTCCTTTCCCTAAGAGAGCTAAGCATCGAAGCTGTTGTAACAATGATGGGTAAAGGTTAAAAAGCAAGTTATTCAGAATGCAGTAAAATGCGTCTGCTGCATGTGAAAGGCTTTCCTTCCCCCTGCCAGGCTTTGTGGCGGTGTCCCTCCCGCCCCCCGCCTCCGAAGTAAATCAGTTCTTGGGCATTAACTGGCAGAGTGGGAGATGAGCCGTGAGCCAGCCTGGGTGGGAGACTTACGAAGTTTGCACTGTTTCCTTGTTGGGCACAGTGAAGGATGGCTCATCTACTCTAGGGTTCCATTACCCGGCAGCTGGAAGGTTTTGGGCTGCCTCGCATCCCGCACGTAACCTTTTGTATATGGGGACGCTCGTAGTGAGTCCTTGAGGGGTCACCCTGCCCCGCCCCGTTCTCCACCCCCCGTGTGGAGGGAAGAGCCCAGCACTCCTTGTGCCTCCCCAGGCCTGACCCTGTCCCCCCTCCTCACCCCAGGTCTGCCCTGCAGGTCCTTCACAAGGCCTGCGAAGTGGCACGAAGACACAACTACTTCCCTGGTGGCGTGGCGCTCATCTGGGCCACCTACTACGAGAGCTGCATCAGCTCGGACCAGAGCTGCATCAACGAGTGGAACGCCATGCAGGACCTGGAGTCTGCACGGCCCGACTCCCCAGCCCTGTTTGTGGACAAGTAAGTGCGGCACTGCCTCACCCACGCCGGGTCCGACCCTGAGTCTGCACAGGGTCACGCCACCCTGGTAGTCCTGGGGTTGGGAGCCCCCTCTCCCAGGACCAGCATTCCAAGCAGGGGTTCCTCACCTGCTGCCCATGGGTAGTCTTTGGCCTAGGGAAGGTTCTGGGACCACCACCCCACTTCTAAAATTAGAGACGGATTTGGGTGTGAATGCGTTTCTGGGGAACAGCTCCATAACTCCCATCAGCCTACATGCTTCACCGGCTCTTGGGCCATGTTCTATGGTCTGGCCTTTCCCTCTGTTCTGAGGAGTATTATATATCTATCGTCCCAGGATCCCAAAACACCACTGTACCGGCACTGGCTGGGGGCAGCCTGCCTTAGAGGCCACAACAGTGAATCCGGGGCCTGTGTCACATGGCCACCAGCAGAGCTCACGTGGCCTGAGGCTGCACTCAGTGAAAGTCTGGGTCCAGAAGAAGGAAAGGGCTCCCCCCTTCTGTCTTGGTTAGGACCCTCCTCCCCCAGAGTCGTGTGTCCCTCTGGGACTGCATTATGAGGGCCATGGACACAGAGGTCAGCCTGAATGAGGAGAGGACCGGAAGCCACATTCTTTGAGGCCCCAAGTGATGAGCAGGTTGGGGAGAATGACAGTTGCCTTTGAGTATAGAAAAGGGCCTTCTGTGGAAGAATTATCCTGGTCTGTGTAGAAGCAGGGCCGATGGGTAGAAGTTACAGGGAAGCACATAGATTCTCCATGTAAGAAGGAGATGAGGCGAGCCGGACCCAGTGATGTCCTCCCACCCAGACATGTTCAAGTGCAGACAGAAGGGTCTGGTTGGTGGGCGGATGTTCCACGGGTGCTTCCAGCATCTCGTCCCGAGAGCCCGATTCTCTGCAGACCTGAACGAGGACTATGCTTTCCAGCCATTGTTTGTGCTCTCCATCCGCTCACCACTCTGTGGACTCCCACAGGAGTTCTAGACACAGAGCCGGACTTCTCTGTCCCTTTCCCCTCCTCCCAAAAATATGCACACCAAGAAGGTAGCTGTCTGAGTGCAGGCCATGTTCTGTTTAGCTCAAGAGTATCTGGCGTTTCTGTAAACGCTGACCTCAGGCTCCCTGTCGTTCTCCATCTTACTGACTGTCCCTTCTTTCTAGGCCAACTGAAGGGGAAAGAACTGAGCGCCTCATCAAAGCCAAGCTCCGGAGCATCATGATGAGCCAGGATCTAGAAAACGTGACCTCGAAAGAAGTAAGAGAGCTCTTCCCTTAGCAAGCCAGAGGTCACAAGCTGTCCATCTGTCCTGTTGCTCAAAGGACAGCGGAGGCAGGTCTGCCGCTTGGCCTTCTTACGGGTCAGCTCCCAGACTCTCGGAGGCTTTTTCCCACAGGACTTAGCAGAGAGAGTGCAGGCCTTAGAGTTCCGCTCTAGTTTGGATCCAGCCGTGCTGCATACCAGCTATGGGGCCTTGAGCAAATTTCCTGATCTCTCTGAACCTGTAAGACCTTTGGTGTTAATTCCACGAGACTCACGCGTTGTCCTGAGATACATTTGCCTGTTAGCGCCCTCTTCTCTGCCTTGTGTTTTATTGAGATACAGCAAACTCTTATTTCTTATTTCAGGATTATCACTTACTAGCAAGTTACTAACCCTGGACTGCCTTCTGTGTGCCTTCGAATTTTTTTCTGGATCACTTTTTTCTTGTTTCAGTTGCTTTTTGTTCAAAAGAATGCAATGAATTATAATTATCGCTTAAACTAGGTAGATATAAGGGCTTGAAAGGGCCATTTGAAAAAGCCATATATCACCCTTTGTATTAATTAATACACATAAAAAGTCATATTGTGGGGCAGCCAACTCTCTTGGGTTCCCTCCCTCTTTGGGAGCTTTGTACTATCGCTCAATAAACTTTGCTGCCCACCAAAAAAACAACAGCAACAACAACAAAAAACTATCCTGTTGTGATGCCTTCCAATGCAAGATGAAACTGCTTTTATGTGTTCACTGTGATATATTTGATATTTAATTATAAAAATAGAAGTGCTTTAAACTCAGTAGAAGAGATCCCCTGCGAATCAGCTTCTTGGTATAAAATAATAAACTTTGCCCAGTCAGACTGCCTGTGAGGCTGTGTAGCCTGCCTCACCACCTACGTATGTGCTTGTGCGTCTCGGTGTGTTGTACACTTACTTTGGGGCAAAAAAAACAAAAAAACACCAAAACAACAAGACACCTTTTTTGAAAACAACCACAGTTTAAGTTGTGACTTGACTTCTTTGGAGGTGGATGGCTCTTGTTTTGTTTTGTAACGAATCACTTTTCCTGCTCTTCTCCGCTCCACAGATCCGTAATGAATTAGAGACGCAGATGAACTGTAACCTGAAAGAATTCAAGGAATTCATAGACAACGAGATGCTCCTTATCTTGGGACAGATGGACAAGCCCTCCCTTATCTTCGACCACCTCTATCTCGTAAGAAGCGCCTCACAGGGCAGGGTCTGGTTTGGGGAACATCCGTCTACAGACCTTGATTGTTTGGAGCTTGCAGCAGAGTCAGAAAGGGGGCGAGAACTGGAGTGGCTGGGACCTCGATCCTGGCTGTTCTGGGAACTCCTGTCTTCGACCCCCTTCCTCTGTCCTGCGCTGGTTTGCCCTGGGGCCAGATGTGTGAGATGGGGCTCCCAGCTGAGCTGTGTGGAGTTGTTTGAAGGCTCTCTGGCACAGTCCACTGGCAGCAGTTTTCAGAACCTCTCCATCCTTGGTCTTCAGTTGCTAACACAGAGGCCCCATCCAGTTACCTCCCCACGGTTTGCAGGCTCCGAACCCCCAGGTACGAAAGGGTGCATGCTCGCCAAACCCCAGAATTACGCCCGGGCATCACCGAGACGTGAGAAACAGTAGGCAAAACAAACTGAACCCCCGAAGCCCAGCTTCTTCCCCTCTCTCTGTCCGGGTGGCTACTCTGTGCCCTGCTCCCAGGCCCACCGAAGGGGCAGGCCCTGGGAGCACCACCAGGGGGGCCGGGTTGTGCAGGTTCTCCGCACCTCCATCTCTTGCTCAGATGCTCTTAATGCTGTAAATCTCCATAGAAGGCAACTGGCAAGTTTGCAGAGTCCCTCAGAGAGACTATAAGGGAGAGCATGTTACTAAAATTAGAGAAGTGGTACAGTGTGATGAAAGTCAGACCCGCCAGGGCCAAGTTCCCACTCCCCAGCTGAAACAGCTGTGTGAGGGGAGCGAGCCTCTTGGTCTTTTCTCCTTCATTCTGTACCACAGGTACATCCCACAGGATGATTGTGAGGATTAAGTAAGAGACATTCTTCAAGCACCAAGTGTTCTTTCTGTAGGTACTAATAAACACGGCAACCATTGTTACAGCAAAAATGACTTCCTGGGAAAGTGGAGGAAGTGTATTTGCTGCTGAAGGCATGAACGATCTTGTTTTCTGCCCACAGGAATTAATTAATGGCTCTCCAAACGCATGTTAGTGATATATACTTAGTATATTAAATATATATATATCTCAAATATATATACTTAATATATTTGTGTATGTCAATTCATATTTGTGAATGTGTGTGTATATGTATATACATATATGTACATGCATATATATATGTATGTTTAACGTTTGTATTAAAACGTATATGAACGTGTGGATTTGAAGCCTATATCTTGAGAAAGCCGTCAGGCAGCCCTGGGCTCTAATCTCCCAGGGAAGTTGGTGGTTTTTCCTAGTGGAAACAACAGAAGGCAGGCTGTCTCTCCACTAGGTGGTGATCACAACAGGAGGATGCTCACAGATGTAGTGAGCTTTCATTATTTTTTTCAGTGCGGTTTGGTGCTCTCTGTCACTTTTTCCATGAGAGATAACTAAAGGAATTTTTATATTTGAGCCTCCCCCTCCAGCATGAAAAACACCCGCACATTACCAGCCCCACTCGGCCCCCTGGGGCCCCTGCGTCCTGAGGGGTCTGCCCTCCTGGGAAAGGAAGTTTCTAGGGAGACTTGGCGGGGGGCCTCTTCTTCTTCACAACTCTGTGTCATTTGCATTGCCTAAGAGCGAAGTGATAGCTTTTTCTTTGTTTTTTCCCCTTCTGTGTTCCTGGGAAGCTCAGAAATGGAGGGTTCGTTTTATAATATGCTTTAAAAGGCATTAAATTAAAACATGTTATAGAAGGTTCAGAAACACCAGTAACTCCAAAGAAGAAAGTAAAAAGCATTCCCAATTTTGCAAATCTAGATGTAGTTACTGTTAACGTTTTAGTATATTTTTTTCCCATCTTCTGGGTTTTTTCTTTTTATGTCTATATAGCTTCTTTAAAAAAAAAAAAAAGAAAGGAAAGGAAAGAATCATAATGTTTATATAGTTTTGTGTCCTGTTTTTCTTTTTTTAAGTTGTTTTCATTATGCGGCGTTTCCCCATTTCGTTAAATAGCCACCCAAAGTACAATTTATTTTTAATTGCCCCATCGTGTGGCTTCATCATCATCATCATTTATTTTACTAGTTTCTTCTTGTCGGACCTCTAAGTTGTTCTCATTGTTTGTCCTCGCAAATAACCATAAATATCCTCGTGCATAAATCTACGTGCGAATTCTGGATGTTTCCTCAGGGCAGCTGTTTGTATGTGGAACCACTGGGTCAGAGGGTGGGAACTTTTAAAAAATACTTGCCTGAAAAGGTAGACAGATTCCTGCTGTAAATTAGTGGTGTGTGAAAGTGCCCTCTCCTGAGCGGGAAGCCGGAGGTCATTGCCTCTGGTGACAGGACCGTGCCGGAGCCTTAGGAAAGGACGTGGTGGGGGGGCGGAGGTACAGGTTTTGCCGTTCCCTGAAGGCCAAGGGACAGCCAGGGCCTTCCACGCAGGCTGACGACGCCGGGAATGCCTCCGGAAGCTGCTTGGCTAGCAGCCTCTTTTAGTTCTGTCCGCCCATCTAAGGCCAAGGGCCCGTGAAATAACCCTCCCCCACCCAGGGCTGGCCCACCCATGCATCCCCTAAGCAGCTCTGAGGCGGACATGTGACACTCACGGGGGTTTGTGTGATCTGTCCCCCAGGGCTCTGAATGGAATGCATCCAATCTGGAGGAACTGCAGGGCTCAGGGTGAGTCTGCTCCCCTCGTCCCCCCTTGTCCTTCCAGGCAGCTTAGAAACCCCCAAGGTTGAGCCCTTATAACTGCCTGCACCCTGTCTCCCATCTCCAAGGGCTGGGCTGATTTGCATAGCTAAGCAGATGTGCTTCAAAATGCCACCTCCTGAATAATTCATGCGTTTTAGATCTTAACGGGGTTCTGTGGGATTGTGTGTGTCACCAAGAACGATTCTCAGTCACACTCCAGTGGCAGAGGACAGCCTGGATGCTGGTAGGGCCACAAGCCCCCTCCTGGGCCCCACTGCCCTCCCCCCCCCACCCCAGCACAGGTGCTGGCAGTCCTAGCGTGGACACACACACACCTGTGGGGCCAGTCGGCAACTCTGGTCCCAGGACCACTCCTGGTTGTCCCTGAGGTTAGACTTTGGGGCCTGGTGGGAATCTGGCGGCTAAATACTCAGTGTTGGTCAGAAACATATGCCCATCTCAGTCTGAGAAATGCCCAGCAGCAGGAATTTAAAAAAAAAAAAAAAAAATGTTTAAATCTAGACCTTCAAGAACAGATGTCTGGACATTTTTTTTTAAACAACACAGCCACAAAATCACCATTCTGTGGGTCTGACATGATGGCATTCTTGAATTACTGCATTTAAAAATCAAGACTAAACAAATCTTAAAATATATCTTTAGAACTGGTTAAGATGTGTTCTTTCAACAGAAAGTTTTCTTAAAATGTAGAGTGATACCATCTATGCTTTCTCTGGCTGGGAATAAATAAATGATTTTGAAAGGTATTTTGTAAAGCATTTATAAGTATTCTCTTACAAACCCTATTTGAGGTATTTTCTAACTCCTGAATTATTTTGGTCTTCCGGGAATATAAGTATCAAGTCTAGAGAACATGCGTTCGAAGACCCTCCCCACTGTTTATTTATTTATTTGTAGTCTGCCTTGTTTCAAGGTTTAAGGCAATTCTCAAGGACATAAATAATGGATGGATATATTCTACTCTCTTAGCTATTTAAAAGTAGAGACTTCATTTTTTTTAAGCCTTTATATATTAATAAATAACCGTTACGAAGTTTGAAACTTTGAGTGTGTCTGAAAATATATTTAAGTAATACATATGTCTCGTTTCCAGAATTCACATTGCTCAGCAATGCTTTGAACTTTTTTTGTAAGTTTTTTTTTACAAAGAAATTTGTTCTTTGTTATAAGTATAATACATTCTCATCGTATAGAGGACATTTGGAAAAAAAAAATTACTCTTTAAGGAAAAACCAAAGTCCCACCGTAAACATGTACGCTTTATGAGTATGTATTTAATTTTTTCCTTGCTCAGTTTTCTGTTACTTTGTCTTTTTGTAGTTCCTCATTCTGATTCTCCAAATTTGTTCTTTATTTTTTTTTTTCTCCTTACAGTGTGGACTACATTTTAAATGTCACCAGAGAAATAGATAATTTTTTTCCTGGCTTATTTGCGTATCATAACATTCGCGTCTACGATGAAGAGACAACAGACCTTCTTGCCCACTGGAACGAAGCGTACCATTTCATAAACAAAGCAAAGTAAGTGGATGGAGAAGCCAAAGAGGCTAGTCTGAGGAAGTAACTGGCGGATGCCAGCTGGGCAGAAATTAATGGTAGTCCCAGACTCAGACATCTCTGGTTTGTGGAGCCTTTGATGTCTGGTGGACCTCTGGTTTTAGACCACAGGACCCCCTAACACCAAAAAGGCACAGTCACTGATCTTCTCAGGGTGGGGGCCCCAGTGAGCCTGTTTCCCCTGTCATCGACTGTGACATTGGATCCCACTTCTGTCATCATCACTGCTTCCAGGCAAGGATCTGTAATCTCGTGGACACTCTTTGGAGCTCTGTCTACGGGGAGTCGCTGAGCCAAAGGAGGGAGGAGGACAGGCCAGGTCTTGCGTGGACTATGAACACCTTTGGGGCTGCTTCCCCAGAGAAAGCTGCTCAGGCAGAGGCCGCGAGGGCTGGCCCGCCTTCTGCACCTGAGTTAGTGCAGTTTTCTTGTTCATGGAATGGGACAGACCGTCAGAGGTCCCCATCGCCCTGAGCCTGTTCCTGGCATCACCCTGTCTTCTGTCCTCCCCTTATTCTCCTATGGGACAACTCTGCCTCACTGAAATTCAGAACAGAGAGAGAGAGAACCCTTTGCAATGCTATCAAGAGAAACCCTGTCTTCTGCTTCATACCTCTTGAGGTCAAAGCTCCATAACATGTCCTTACCGAATCTTAGTTTGTTTGCATTCCTGGGGCATAGATTCCAGGCCAGCAGTCAAACAAAAAAACAAAAACAGAACAAAATGCACTGACAAACGGGGATGAATCTGAAGCCTGGGGTCTAGGAAAGGAGCCCAGACCCACCTGACGGGCCAGCTGGTTCCAGTGTAAACAGGCAGGCTGGTGGGTCTGCCTCCTGTACAAATAAAGCTTCCCAGGTGCAGCCCCTTCCAGCATCGTGTACCCTCCCATTCTTGAGCCCCCGAAGTCTCGAGAAACACGGCCTTGCCATTCCTGTGACATCAGCCCCGCCCAGGCCACTACCGCCTCCTTACAAATGACCGATCCCCCTGCCTTCTTCCCCTCGTCCCGAGTCCAGGGTGCTGCCCTCCTTGTTCTAGCTCCTCGACCTTCCCTGCCTGGCGAGCATCCTGCCCTCCCGAGGGCCTCACACCCTTCCATTTGCTGACCCCGTTTTCTCTGCAGTCACCCATTGCCCATCTTCATCTCCTGCGGCAGCTGTGTAGCTTTTGCAGCAGCCCCTTTCGCTGCCCCTTTGCTTCCTGCAAGAGTTTCTGGTCTCCTGGCCCATCCCAGCGGTCCCGCTTTGTCCCTGAGGGCAGCCCAATTTGGGAGCCCTCCCTGCACTGCTGGGCAAGGCAAGGACAGATTTATCTCGATTTCCCATTGTGTGCTAATTGATTTTGCAGTGAAGGTATTTCCTTTCGAGGGTGTGTGGCCATCTGCTGCATAAATATCAGGACGTGGCGGGGGTGGTGGGGTCTGGGCACTGAGATAACTTCAGGGTTTAAAGAAAAACAAAATGCATTGGGTAAAACCTGACAGAATGAAATTCTGGAAATTTCTGGACTCTGTCCCCCGCCTCTGCAGGAGGAACCATTCCAAGTGCCTGGTACATTGCAAAATGGGTGTCAGCCGATCGGCTTCCACGGTCATAGCCTATGCAATGAAGGAATTTGGCTGGCCTCTGGAAAAAGCGTACAACTACGTGAAGCAGAAGCGCAGCATTACACGGCCCAACGCGGGCTTTATGAGGCAGCTGTCTGAGTATGAAGGCATCTTGGACGCGAGGTGGGTGAACGTCTGCGGGGAAGGGTTGGCAGAACCAAGCGGGCTCCTGTCCGGCCTGGCAGCAGCCTCTGCAGCTAAAGTCCCGCCTTTGGGGGGGTTGGGGGGGAGCCGGACTGAGAAAAACAGCTATTGTTTGGGGTTTGATTAGTGGTTTCCAGGAGGGATCTGTTTGATTTTGTTGGCACACACAGAAAGCTGTTTTGCTGCTGGAGGGAACGGTGCGCGCCTCCTCGTCCAAGGCATGACATCATGGGCGGCAGAGGCACATGGCCGTCCCCGTTTCCTGAGCATCTGCTTTGTGCTGAGCCCCAAGCCAGGCTTCGCCACAGGGCAGTTCCGATGCCGCAGAGCCAACTGGCTTCCAGCACCGACGAGCCGGGCCGCGTAGGGCAAGCTCGCCCATCTCCCCCGGCCCTGGTTTCCTCTTCTGAGTTTGCAGGCCAAGCCCACCTGGTAGGGCTGTTGTGAGATTTACCTGAGGACTGTGCAGGTTTACCTCTGCAGATGCCGGGCTAGACCTGGCTCGTGGTGAATAAAAATACGGAGCTTTTGAAATCTCTAACCCCCACCCAGAAAAGGTCTGCCCAGGACAGGGTATCCCCAGCGTATGGGGGGAATGAGCTGACGCTGGAGGTTAGGATGTCCCACATCATACAGCCGGCGGGCAGCACATGGGAGAGAGCACACCCGGGTCTGCCGGCCCCCAAGGCTACGGTGCGGGGAGGCCCTGTGGAGGCGGATCCCCACTGCACCTGGGATTCCCTTTCTCCCTGGATTATTTCTGACTGGTATTATGAGGAGGCCACAGGCTCAGTCCACGGGCTTCTTGGCCGAGTGTGAGCAAGCAGGAGTGCCCTGGCAGGGTGGAATGGGGTCTGAAAACAGCTCTGGAGTCCCTTTACTGTCACCCAGGGAGTGACTGGACAGATCCCCAGGCGGGGCCCCAGGACGATGAGGAGGGGGTGGAGGCATGGGCATCCTGCCTCCTTTCCCTTAGCCCTTCAGACACTTGCTGCCATCAGGGGCTTGCAGCCTCCACAGCCTCATCAGGGGTCTTCAGGCCGAGGTCACAGCCACAAGGCAGTGACTTTGACTTGCAGCCCCGTCTGGGGGCCCTCTTGGCCTTGCCTGGAACGGGCACACGGAGCGGTCTCAAATGGTCATGGTGCTCCCATGCGTTGCAAACCACAGGCCCTTAATTCACACTGTCCTGTCCGCATCTCCTCTCATCGGAGCCCGCACCCCTGCAGGGTGTTGGTACAGGTGCCCCAAGGGTCATGCAGGTGCCTTACTTACCTGATTTCACATTAAAATTTTCTCTTCCTTTTTTTTTTTTTTGACCCTTACATTAAAAATGTGTTATAACCATACTACCACGGTATCATAAGACTTATTTTTAAAAGTGACCTGTCATCTTTCTGACCCCCCCAAAAAAAAAAAAAATCTTGTGGTTTTCTCCAGTCGTCCCAACTTGATGTGCATTATGTGTTTACCCAAAAATCTCCACGTGCTCTCTGCTTCGGTCCCCGCTACCTCCCTACAGGATAGGGAGGAGAGGATTATTACTCTCCTGACAGATGGAGGGCCTCAGAGGTGGGACGGGCGGTGGCGTGGCTAAGTTCACAGGATGAGGCAGAACAGCGAGACCCTGATGGTACCCAAGGTCTAGGCCGCCGTCACGGGTCTGCCACATTGTCACTGCATGGCAGAGTCACTGAGGGCTGCTGCCGGGAGCCAAGGGGCTTGAGCGTCCTAGCGCCATCTGTCAGCCGTGGGCTGTGTCTTGCTGTCCCTCCCGGGACCCTCAGGGTACTGGCCCCCATGACCTTCCTCTGCCCTTCCTCCCCCGCAGCAAACAACGGCACAACAAGCTGTGGCGCCAGCAGAGCAAGACCTGCCTCCAGCAGCCTGCGGACGACCCTGCAGGGTCGGGGGGCTTCTTGCCGGAGACCCTGGACGGCACCCCGGAGGCCCGGCTGCCCTGCCTGGACGATGCTGCCCAGCCCGCCTTCCCAGACAGCGGGGCCCCAGGAGGCCCCACTCTCCCCTGCTGCTTCCGGCGGCTCTCAGACCCCCTCCTGCCTTCCCCCAACGACGAACCCGGCAGCTTGGTCCACCTGGAGGATCTGGAGAGGGATGCTCTGTTGGAGGAAGCGGCCGAGCCAACTGAGGCACACACGCCAGCCAGACATCCCCAGGAAGCTTCTGGACTCTGCGAGAAGGAAGTGAGGAAGAAGCTGGAGTCCGGGAGCCCTAAGGCCCGGAGCGGCTCCTTGCAGCAGGTGGAAGAGATGGAAGGGGAGGAGGCCCCAGGGGCAGGGCAGTGGGGGCGGCCCCCACCCCAGCCCGATAAAAGCCTGCTCAACCGGGAGAACCTTAACAACAACAACAGCAAGAGGAGCTGTCCCGATGACTTCGAGGTGGGCAAGGGGGGCCGGCGCGGAGGGCGAGGGCAGCGGGCGTTCCCCGAGCGCGGCTTCAGGGCGCCTGGGAGTGCAGGCGTACCGTGGGTTGGGGGTGTGCAGGGCCTGGCGCTCATCCCTGCAGCCCCCCCCCCCCCAATGCGCCTCATTCACGGCTTGGTCAGAGCTTTCAGCTTGGTCTCTTTCTTACGTAAAATGTACAACAAAACTTACCACCCAGCTTCAACGTTTATCAACACAAGGCTATTCCTATTTCATCCCCGCCCCACTCAGTTTCCCCACACTCTGAATCATCTTGAACCAAACCCCAGCTGGGTCGCTTCGTTCACAGATACTTCCGTCTATAACATAACCACAATACCACCTTGAAGAAATGGGTAGTAATTGCTCAGTATCATCAAATATCTGGTCTTCCAACTCCTACTCTAATGCTTGACTCCATTAGTCCCACGTGGCTGTCCTGTTCGGTGGGTTTCTGCAACATGGTCTTAGCAAGCTGGCCCTTGCTCAGAAAATTATTAAATCCGCCAGGCTCTCCCCTCCTCCGGGGGGCCCGGGAGCTGAGGCTGGTGTCATGAGCGGTGTGCTGTGCGGCCCGCTCCCGGGTCCCACCCTCGCTCTGCACCGGCTCTTGCCGCGGCCCGGGCCAAGGAGCTTCACTTCCCCAGGCCTCCCCGCCCATCTTCCGAGACGGCCGGGATTCACAGGTGAGAGCACTCGGCAGTGCATTCCCACATCCAGAGGGTTTGTCTTTCCCATGTTCTAATACAAACGAAACGGGAAGTACCAGATGTTACTTACTGGTGAATTTCTCCCGCCACTCACCCTTCCCTCAAAGAGCAAATACCTATAAAGACAGTTGATACAAAACGTCTGTCCAGGACTGTCCATCAGTCTGAAACGGCACCGGGTGGGTCGTGGGATGAAGAACAGGAGAGGCGTGGGTAAGGAGAGACATGAAGGATGGCCTGGCTTTCCTGGCCAGAGTTGGATTGAATGGGTGAGGTTCTCTAGAGAATAGGAGGACCAAGAGACGAGCACTCATTCACTTGTTCAACTCCTCTTTGCTGACTACGGTGCCAGGTTGGTGAGGGGTTCAGCTGCAAGGTGACTGTGCCTTCTCTCCTCCCCTCTGCCTGGTCAGCACCTGCTTGTCCCAAGGGTCTCAGCTGAGGTTCGGCTCCTCAGGGAAGCCTTCCCTCTGCAGAAGACTTTGAGCTCACCCCTCTCCATCCTGTCACTTGTCACTCAGTTTTCTGGTCCACACTAGACCCTCTGAGGGCAGGGACCGTGTCTTGTTTGCAGCCCCTGTGCCTGACGCCGGTCCTGACGCGTGACAGGCGCTCCCTAAATATGAGTCGGATGAGTGAATTTGCTCCCACCCTATTGCTCCTTGGGCTCCGAAAGGTAGTCCTAAATCTCCAACCGTGAGACATTCTAACCACATTTTAGAACATTCGGTTCTAAAGGTTTTAGGAGAAAACTTCAGTCAGAGCTTCAGAAAAATTTCTGGGTCAAGAGTTCGGGGGTGGTCAGGTCTCACTGGTTGACCCAGGAATCCTGACTAGGTTAGGAGATCTGGCCTCCCCCACCACACGCTCTCCGTGTGCTCCCCTGCAGCCTCTAGGAATCATGGCTGGGTTTCCTTATGATTCCTCCAGTATTGGACCACCCATGACTTCTTGTCTTGGGGGACCTACATCTGTGACACAGGATGGGATTAGGCCGTGATGGTCAGGGCCGTGGGCAGGGGGCAGGGAGAAACATGGACCAGCAGCCCTTTGCCAAGGGGCCTTTGTTTTAGGCCAGCTTGGGAATCTCGCAGCTAAACCACTGTTCACCTCAGCCCATAGGAGCGGCCCTGTTGTCTGTCGATGGGCGTGTGAGGGAGGTGAGCAGTTACCCTGCCCGTCGGAAGGGCCCGATGTGGAGGCACATGGCACGTTCGCCTAGAGGCAGGTGGCTTTCCTCAGAAAACAATGCAGACATGTTCCCTATTGGTCTGTAAAACCCACCTCAGCCTGGCTCCCTTATCCGGGGCTGTGAGCACCCGTGTTTGGGTCTGTACTGGAGTCTTTCCAAAGCCATTTTTGCCTTTGACCACCTCCACTGTGAAGACCACAGCCAATGGCTACATGGTGATTCTTTGGAGCTAGCTGTGTTCATGCTAGCAGGGAAGAGCCCCGTTTTCAGGCTACGTACTCCCCAAGCACAGATTCTTTCTGAAAGGGAAAGAAAGGGAGAGGCGCCCACGTGAGATGTTGAAGGCAGGGTTGAGCAGGCTGTGCCCCTGATCATGCTGGCTGTGTGGCCGGAGGTTTGCCCAGGATCGTAGTCACGTAGCTTCTGGAAAGTTGGGTTCAGCATCTCCAACCACCACTGTTCATGGCTGAGTGGGTTCCAAGAGGCCTGTGTTCCTGCACTGACTGGAGGGGGGGGTGGGAGGCACTGCCTCTCCAGTGCCCTACCCAGTCCCACACACCCTTCTCTGGCTCGCTGTTGTATACTCACGATGTCCTTGTCCCCTTTCAGCACGATGCTATATTCGGGATCCTTAACAAGGTGAAGCCTTCCTACAAATCCTGTGCCGACTGCGTGTACCCTGTAGCCAGTGGGGCTCCTGAGGCCTTCAGGGAGCGGGGCGAGAACCCTGGAGCTCCCGCCATCTGTACCCAGCCAACCTTCCTGCCCCACCTCACCTCCTCCCCTGTGGCCCACACGTCCAGCAGATCCCGAGCTTTAGAGAAACTGGCCTCTGGCCCAAGCGAGAGTCCCCCTTTGCTACCACCAGCAGGCTCGAGGAGGTCAGATGTCGGTGGCTCCGGGGCCGCGGCTGCCCCAGAACTACCAGCTAGCCTTTTGGAATCTTCCAGAGAAACCCAAAAAGTCCTGCCAAAGTCCCTCCTTTTGAAGAATTCTCACTGTGATAAGAACCCTCCAAGCATGGACGTAGCAAAGGATGAATCGCCGCCCAAGAAAGATCTGAGACCGGCCAAGGACCTGCGGCTTCTGTTCAGTAAAGAGGCCGAGAAGCCGACAAGCAACAGCTACCTGATGCAGCACCAGGAGTCCATCATTCAGCTGCAGAAGGCGGGCTTGGTCCGAAAGCACACTCAAGAACTGGAGAGGCTGAGGGGCACGCCCGCAGACCCGGCGTCTCCCTGCAGGGATGGCCCCGCCGGCAGGCTGGAGGCCAGCGTCCCCGAGGAGAACCCCGATCTGGCTCCTGCCCATCCGCCGGGGCCCCCGGCCCTGCCCAGCCTCGCAGGGAGCGATGACAAGTCAGAGGCCATCCCCCCTCCGTTCGAAGGCGCCCCACTCAAGAGCCCTACTCCCTTCCTCTGCCGCCTGGATCACACCACTCACTTCTCGAAAGACTTCTTGAAGACCATCTGCTACACCCCCACGTCCTCCTCCATGAGCTCCAACCTGACGCGGAGCTCCAGCAGTGACAGCATCCACAGCGTCCGAGGCAAGCCAGGCCTGGTGAAGCAGCGGACGCAGGAGATTGAGACCCGGCTCCGGCTGGCGGGCCTCACCGTCTCGTCCCCACTGAAACGCTCACACTCTCTGGCCAAGCTTGGAAGTCTCAACTTCTCGACAGAAGACCTGTCCGGTGAGGCAGACGCGTCCGCCCTCACCGACTCCCGGGACGCCAAGTCGAGCGAGTCTTCCTTCTTGCGTGAGCCCCAGGCAGCCCCAAGGAAGCCAGCCGCGACCTCTCAACCATCAGGGAAATCTGCTTCAGAACATTTGAGAAGCCCCTCGTGGATGAGCAAAAGCTGACCCGCCTCTTGCTGTATTCGGACGTGTATTTTCACATGGTCCCTCCCTTTGTTTCACTGTGGGTTTTGGCCGTGATGTGTCCTAAACGATTGACATTCTAACTCTCCCCACTCTTGCCGCAGAGAGGAGAAGAAAAAACAAGAATAACCCAGCACAAGAAGAAAGGGGGGGTGACGCCAGTGGTGGGGTGGCCCAGGAGAGCCAGAAGCCGTCGGCCAGTAGATACAAAACTCCGATCCCCAAGTCCTGTGTTTTCAGGAAGAATCCTGTTCTTAAAAAGAGCATATACAGATATGCACACACATCCCGAATACTCCATTTGCACCATGCAAAAGAGTGGCAGCGGTGATGTTTCCGTCGCCACGGCGCACGTTCCTAGCTCATTCAGGCCCTTGCGGGGAAACCCTTGGATGGCAATATAAGTCCTACCTCTGTTCTTGCTGTGCTTTTTATTTTTAAAATACAGTAGTGACCCAGGCTCCTTCCAGGGAATAATGCTGTGTCAGAAAAGGTTTTTCCAAAAGAGAATTTTTTTTTAAATTTTTATTCTTTTGTGGGGACCCCCAAAAAGTGTTAAGACTTTTTAAGTCGACCACACCCACCACTGCTAGGTAAAGTTAGACAAGGCTGTGGAATGCTGTTGTTGAACCAACTCTGTGGTGCGTGGAGATCATCTGTGCAGTTGAATTCCTTGTCCTGGTGTGTTGTCACAGCGGAGCGGCATGTGTCTGGCCGGCACTGGGGTGAGGAGAGGGGATGTGTATATGGGACGTCCTCAGTCATTGCTAATGCTGACGTGTAAGTTGCTCCCGGTCTGGGGAGAAGGGCCCACAAAGCATCACCGCGTCTCATCTGCTGCTGAACCCGATGTGGTTGCGTTGAGGCTTTGAAAGCGCTCGAGCGTCTGGCAGGGGCGGTGGGTCCGAGACGTGGATCGTCCTGCCAGGAGCCTGGGCCCTTGGGCTCATGAGGTCACCGCAGCATGTTCGGGGAGGAAAAGGGGCTTTAAGTGGTCATGAGCAGCTCTGCCAGTCGCTCTCCAGGAACAGCCCTACAGCTTCTCAGAGAAATGAGACCATTGAAAAGCTTCACAGATGTTTACGTCGCCCCTTCCTTCCATAAGGCTACTGTTCCCTGTCTCTGTTTGGCCCTTCCTAGCGGTGAAAGGGCCAGAGTAGAGGAGGGGTCTGTAGTCCTGGGCTGGGGGGGGGGGGGGGGGGGGGGGGGGGGGCGCGGGCGGGGGGGGCCTTCAGAATCAGGTGAGCTGTGCCTGTGACACTCACTGGCCCGGGCCTGGGCGGAGGGAGTCCTCTGGTGTTGGTCGGCAGGATAGGCTGTTTAAAGTATTTCGAAGAGAGCAGGGAAAAGGGCTTGGTAGTAAGGCAGAAGGGTTTCATCCAGGGAGTCTGCAGCGCTGGTATACAGACCCATGAGCTAAGGATGGCTTTTATATTTGTAAGGGGTTATTAAAAACAACCTATTCTGCAACAGGGACCGTGTAGCCTGCACAGCCTAAGATCCTCACGATTGAGCCCTTTCTGGAAAAGGTTTGCTGACCCTTGGTTTCATTTGACAACACAGGGCTGCCCAGGGCCCACCAGGAAGAACCTGGCAGATCCGAAGGCCTCCTCCCCTGCCTCTTGGACACCTCAGGCCCAACCCTTGCCTTCTCCCGACCCAGACCTTGCCCGCCCACCCCTGCGTGCTCTCCTGCGGGGCGGGGGTAGCTGCGTAGGTATGGGCGCTGCCGGCTGAAGCTTTCTTCTGCACTCAGCTGTCAGCCAGATGTATTCAGTGGAACTAGAAGCCTTCCGGCGCCAGCCAAGCTCAGAAAGTGGCCGAAGGAACTGCCATTTTGTACCTTACAGTGGTCGGACCTGGGTCCCCGAGAGCAGCCAGAGATCACCCTGGGCAGGGTCTTCAGGAACAAGGGTGGACAAGGGTGGTCCGCATTTCAACTGGTGGGTGGGGTTTGTGCCGAAACACTCTCTCCAGGAACTTTTCCTCCCCAGTGTTTTTTTTGGTTTTTGTTTTTTAACATAATGTTATTTTATATGAATTTGTTTTCCCACCCCTGTCAACTGAAATCACCTTAAAAGGTGATTATCTACTTCTTCCTGGAAAACCTGCTGGGGTTCCCGCCCCCGCCCCCGGCCAAAAGAAACATTCTCCAAAAACATAATTGAGTTCAATATGTTTTGCCAAATTAAATTTCGCGAGGTGGCTCCATTTTTGTGTCAGATGATCCTTTAGATTTGATGCTGACAGGCTTATGTTGCTCTTTTAACCACACATGTCTGGTGTGTGAGAACAATATATTTTTGCAAACTTTAATTTTGAAAGCGTAGCAGGAGGATTACAAATTGGAGTGAGTCTTCGGCCTTTGGTGACCCTTTCGTTTTCACAATCACGGCTTGTAGGTCAGCGTCTACACAGACCAGAGCCCAGGTCCCCATTATCAAAGCAAAATAGTGGCATTCTTGATTGGGTGGATAACACTCTGGCCTGGAGGTATACGAACTTTCCTCCATGACTCACTGGCCTCTGAAAAGAAAGTCTGTGCCATAAGATAGGCCGCATCTTGACCAATGCTCCGTCTGGAATCTTTGCTGATGGCGAACGTGCCGAACGTGGGGGGCACAAGTGGGAGGCAGGGTTTCTGCTGTGAAAGTCAGTGATCCTGGTGACCACCATCTTCAGGGAATGTCCGTATTGAAATGGAGAACGGGATTTTTCTAGATCAGCTGGATAATCTCCCTGAGTCTTGAACTGCCTTTCATGTCCCACCTCACCTCTGTCTCTTTTACTGCAGTTCATGCGGCGTTCGCAAGTTAGACTGAACTTCCCTCCATCTTCATCTTGCATCGATCCAGGGTGGGGTGGAGGGTCTTCTTGTCAAGCTTTGTTAAGTATGAGGGGGAAACTGGATCCGGAGAGAGGAGGAACCACGCTGCCCTCTGATCTTGATTCCATAATGCCGATTTCAGTTTCCTTGCCTTCGTGCTACTTTAGGGTGTCGGAGCGATGGCCACCGCTGAAGAACCTCAGCACAAGGCTTCTTGCTCTTGGCATTCCCTGTTTCTTTGGTCTCTTCGCGGGGACCCATGCCAACCTCGGGGTGCCCAACAGCACACTCCTGGGTGGTGATACCGTTTGCATGCGTGAGATCACTCACCAGCTGCTCGGCCGCACTGTCCAGCCTTCCCTTCCGTTCCACCCCACCCCTCTAGCCAAAAACCATTCCAGCTCATTCTTAAAGCCTTTTCCCTCCTGGATAAGCCCAGGGGACGCCACAGGGTGGAGCCAAAGTTGCAAGAGCATTGGCATCTTCAGGCCAGCCCTGTACTTTGGCACTCTTGTCTCTCCGCCCTGGCCTGATCCCGGAGGGTTCATGACTCCCCCTGCCCCCCAGGGGCCTTTTCTCCCCAGTGAGAAGAATTGATGCATCATTTAGGCACAGTCATATACGTGACCTTAACCCAAGGTGTCTGAAGAAACACGTGCTCTCTGTTGACCAGAAAGGCTTTGTTCCAGAATACATTCATTCCACCCACCCCTCCTCTGGCTGGCCACCTAGCAGAGCTTCCCCCGGACCCAGTGAGGACAGCCACGTGACCTCCGGCAGGAGAGCTAGGCAGGCTAAGGAATTGGTGACACTTAGCCCAGCGAGGGTGCCCCCACTCCGCTGCCATCCCGCAGGTTCTTGCCAATGCTGCATGCCAAACAAAGGGAGTTGATTGAGCCCCCCATGCTCAGCTACTTGGTCTTTTTATTGTGTGCTCTGCAACTGCATACTTATGTGTATGAGCTCACTCTGCATACATGCATATATATATATATATATATATGTGTGCAACTTGAATCAAATCATCTTGCGGGTCACTTCTCTCCCATCCACATACATGCTGTGTCACCCGAGTACAAAGCGGATCACCTTGACCGAGGTGGAATGGGGCCGTGTGCAGCGCTACTCCTTGGAGACCCAGACATTGACCCCGCTTTTGTCTAGCGGTAGGTGCCACGGCCCCGGCTTCGGTCAGTCTCTGCAACAGGAGTCTTTACAACCAGCCCCCCAGCCCCTCTACTGTCCTTTGTGTTGGCTGTGCCACACAAGAAGGTGGCTGCTTCCTCCCCCCTTTTCCGACACTGTAATTATTGTTTTACAATTGAGTGCCTTAATAATAGTTTACAAATACTGTGTATTTATGGGAAACTGGTAAGCTCTCACCTTCTGTGATTGGACCTTTGCCTTGTCAGTGGTGGTTGGCGTGAGGGCTGGAGCTCGCCCTACCCCGTACTTGTGCTCATCTGCTGTGCAGTCGTATGTGGGGGTGGGGGGGATGCCCCCCCGCAACTGTCCAAGGAGCGTTGGTGGTTCCTGCAGGCGAGGCAGGCACTGGCTCACAGTGTGTCCCATGGTAGCAAGGAAAGCACAGAACTTGGTTTGCTAGCCAGCCGGGGGTGGCGCCGCCCCCTCCCCCATCACACAGTTGTACTCTTGTTTAATAGAGCTGTGTTACCACCTAGGCCTCCCTGTTTTCTCCTCCGTTGGTGTCCTGAGCTCGCTGCAACCAAATGTGGGGACAGACACCAGCCCCTGCAAAATCAGGAGCTCTCTAAGATAAGTTCTTTGGTTTTCAGAAGCTGCCAGTGGGTTCCAGCGTGTTGCATTAAGATATCAATGATTTTTTTTTATTCTATTGTTTTTCTTCGTGTTTTTTTTTATATTATATATTTAAAAGGCAGTATCTTTTGTACTGTGAATTTGCAGTAGAAGATGCATAATGCACTTTTTTTTTTTTACTTCTGTTGGTGTGTACTGTAATAGTCTGTGTGCTTGTGATGAAAATAAACTTTTTCTTTATAAACGTTTGACGACCTGTGAACTTGTGCAAAAGGAAGCTGCTTCTTCAGTCCTTGCCAAGACAGTCAACGTATCTGCATCATCCTGACAGCCAGTCTTTACTGAGCACCTACTTTGTGCTAAGCCCCATGCTATAGAAACCTGGACACATTAGACGGAAGAAAGAACAAGGGAACAGATGTTAGCTCCTCTAGGAATTGTCTTGTTTCTCCTCCCGATTTTATTAGTAAGGAGGAGCGGACCCACATATGGGTGGTCGTTTGTATACCCAAAAAACCTGTCCCTGCCAAGGTGGGACTTGGACTCTGGGAGGTGACTCTTCTCGCTCGAGTGTGTTTGGCACCACCACCTAAGCTAGCCCAGCCACATGTCATGGGAGAGGAGACTGGAGGCTGATTATTGCTGGTGGCCAAGGCAGGAATCCCAGGGAACCTCAGTTTCTGCACACAACAGAGGCTGTTCTCATGCCCAGGTCCCAATCCACTGCAGGTCAGGACCCTTTTGGTGGCTCTCCTCCCTTGGTGACTCACGAAGCTGAGCTACTTGCGTTTTAAACCCTGCTATCTTGGTGTCCTTTGCTCTGGCTGTGCGGTCAGGGGAAAGAGCACAGGTACTCACATTCACTCCA